AGAAATCAGGAAGAAGCGCTGGAAGTGGATAGGACACACATTGAGGAAAGCACCCAACTGCGTCACAAGACAAGCCCTTTCATTCAGTCCTCAAGGCCAAAGGGAAAGAGGAAGACCAAAGATCACATTACGCCGAGAAATGGAGATAGACATGAAAAAAATGAACAAGAATTGGATGGAATTAGAAAAGGAGGCCCAGGACAGAGTGGGTTGGAGAATGCTGGTCGGCGGCCTATGCTCCATTAGGAGTAACAGGCGTAAGTAAGTAAGTAAGTATCAGCATTCTCTATCTAACTCTAACCTGGGCATACATCAGTAATTCAGTCTAATGAACAGTTATCATTTGATCACATTATATCATTGTATATTATCAGTCAAGCAGTATTGTATTCATTCATTATCATAAATCATTTAACTTTCATTCATAACAATTACCTACAATGTGGTGATAATAGGTCATATGTCGTAAAAGTGTTAACATAAGTTGCTTTTTCTCTTATTACATGTTAACAAATTTCGAAATCAATATCATGTTTTACTAGTTCCTTTATCTTATTATTAAACTAATATTAATAATAAGTTCTGTGACATTATAATCATGGATTCATAGTGAATGAAATTTATACATAATAAGTACACTTTAATAAATTAATCTATCTAATAACTACACTTAAAAGGTAATGAGTACTCGATTGTTTTGTTTTTTTACTCAACTTGGAATAATTTTAATATCAGAAGGGGTATTATAGTAATTTCACTAGTTGAGATCATGAGTCAATCAAAGCTAGACCACCATGAAAAACCTGGAAGCACTGAACAGCCGTTTCGTCCTATTGTGGTACTCTTATCATTATTAAATTGAATAACTTTAAAGAAATTTTAATTTAGTCACCTAATTATTGACAAGATGTAGGATATGATGAAATCGTGGATGCGCACTGCTGAGGAGTCCCACAATAGGACAAAACGGCCGTCCAGTGTTTCCAATGGTAGTCTAACATCAATCGGTTCATGATTTCAATCAAAAACTTAACAATCTCTACAACCCCTAAACTGATAAATATATATAAGTTTGTTTATTCTGAAATAAATATACTTTGATTATAATAAACCGATTATCATTTGTAGAATTTTATATATATACACAAAATTAAGTTTTATTGTTGTTAATTTTGTGGAAAATCTTGAAAAGTTATACAATATGTATGAAATTAGATTGTAAAATGATCACGTTATTTATTAGTCAAGATTAATACTGTATTTTACAAATAGGTTTAAGCTTTGAAAATCCATTTTTGTAGGAATTGCCTAACAGTAGGTTGGAGTCCTATCAAAGTGATTGTCAGAGTCCAAACACATGAGAGTATTGTTACAGCTAAGGCGATATAGCCATATTCTTAATCTAATGAGAACTCGAGAGGTGGAAGTTTTGTAACTACTGACTCATTTTTTTCATCGTTGAACATACTTCAAAATGTCACATATCTAAGTCACTATTTAAGTCCTCATTCTGGTATGACGTACAAATTCGATGTGTTTATGAAAAAAGTCAGACCAGAATGTGTTAATCTGGCCTATTTTTGGTTCCTTTTCAACGTTATTCCGATCATATTTTGTCAGGTGGTTATGTTATTGAGTTCAGTTCTGCTCTTTACTCGTGATTTTGTTCCTATTATGCCGAAATACAACCAAGTGGTTTCAGAGACTGTTCAAAATAGAAGCTACTGTAGACCCTTGTGTAATTTTCTGATTACCTTATCCATGAAAAATAGAGCATTTTAACTGACCGAAATTCAATTAGTTTGTTTTCTTAACTAATCTATATTTTATAATACATACCGTTGTTTATTTATTGATGAACTGCATGAATTTCGCGTCTTCTATTTCTTCACAATGTTATTATTTCGCTGGAAATATGGGATAACACAAAGTCAGTGTGCTAGACTGACATGACCTACTTCTTTAAATTGTGATAGAATAATCCGTCAACCATTTCAGTTCTTGCCATTAGAAATAACTTCGAGACGATGGAGATTTTTTAGTCAAATTAAAACAAAGTAGTAGAGTTACTGAAAACAGTTTGACGTGGAAAAAATCAACCAAAGTGACTGTTCATAGTTTGCTTGGGAAATCCTATAAATAATAAATAAATTGAATTCTACACATATCGTCAGTTTCCAGATTCCAGAACAGGAATTTATAGCTATAATCTTAAGTTGTTTACATGAATTTTCAAGTCATGTTTTGTATTTAATGTTATGAGTATCGTTGTAAGTACATACTGAAGATAAATAATGATCAATTTGATCGATTTCCGAAGCTTGATAAAGATTTTATTTGTCTTAGCAAAGTGAACAACTTGAATGTAGGAAGTCAAAGACCTTCTTTTACAACACATTTTGCTTGTACAAATTCCCTTAAAATGAGCTAGCCATCTCCATATAATTACATTTTTCCGTCTAGACTAATGGGTGAGATTAAGTGATTTGTCCAGAAAGTCTACAAAACCTTATATTTAAGAAAAACAAAACAACCAGGCAAGCACAAATTGACATCATTCTTGATATTCAAGTTGTATCTACTTTCAATAAACCTTACTAATTGATTAACTAAAGTGAATAATACATTTTATGAATATGTTATAACGTCTACAAACAAAGTACACGAACAGTGAGTAGGCTAAACTTTCCATCTAAGCTAACTGGAGATACTGTTTATCATGTATACAGCAAAACGTATTTTCATACGTTCAATGCATATGATTGTGAATTCGAACTGTGAAAATGCAAGACTTCAATATATAAGTTCTCTGATATACCGAAGAATGTGAAAAATCTAGTTAATCAGTAAAAGCACATTCAAATAACAATAACTAATATATTCAGGAAAGAACGACAAATCACTTTTACACAAGACGTTAGCTCCAACTAAGTTGGTCCACTCACGGTTGTCAGTATAGTCTTACCAAAAATATTATATACAGCATTGTTAATTCGTTCCATCTTCAAAAGTATACTTTACCAACTGACGCTGAATTTAAAGAATTTTTCAGTGATTAAATTAGGATAATTTAACAGTTACAAGTGACATAAAGATATAAACAAACGGGTTGGCGGGGCAGGGTAGTTGGGAGATTATCTGAAACACAACAGATATTTGACTGAATTATTTTCAAAAGTCATGATCACAAACGAAACCATTTCTTTTTCATGAATAATTTGATAGGATTTGTGTAGACCGATTGATTAGACTTTTCGTATGTATACTCTTTAGGTGCAATTTTAAAACCACACCCTAGCTATGCAGTGAAAAGTCCTCTTGTATATTCGCAGTACCCTAAATGTATCCATTCTTTATCATGATCCAAATATTAAGTTCCCTATGCATACCTTTCAGCACCACTAATATAATTACTTCGATTAATAACACTTTAATCTAATTTCCTCTGCTGTTGTTATATTTTGTACTCCATTAATGTATAACGTAATGATACCGCCAATTAGAGAACAGTGGTTTATCAACCGGACCAATGGCGCGTAAACCCGTACGAACAGTCTAGAATCTTTATCGGTTCTTCTTCCTGCATGTTGAGTCCAGAAAATCCATCTTAGCCTCTGCGATATGAATCATGTATTTCAAACATACTGCGTTTATATGCAAACCAAACGGACCACATGACACCACAAAATAGAAAACAACATTTGCACAAAATCTAACCGAAAGTGGCTGTGAATGTGGGAGACTGTAATTAATGGACTGGGTATAGACTGAAGAACGGTAAATTGCATAACAAGTCTATGGGTCAAAATAAAGCTTATAATAAGAGGAACATGAATATATACAGTTTAGATACTTAACAATTATACAGTAAAAATATATCTAGTTCTCAAAAGTTACCATTTATAACTCTCGTCGGGATATAACAGTTAAGCTTTTAGTGGATGGTCCCATGTCAAGCCCACATAGCTTATTCACCTGCCGGACAAACCAATTTATCCATTCTTCTCGAGCTAAATTTTGACCATGTTAATTACTCACTTATCAACCCTGATTGTTTTTATGAGTCGATAATTATATGCGAGGATTATTGTAGTGTATATTTTGATAACGATATTCACACGATGAAATTGGAGTCAGATCCAGGTCACTAAAGGCTAGTTCAGTGCGATAAACCGAGAAAATAACAAGTGCGTAGAGTTTTACTATGAATTTTCAGTGTCTAGACATTACGTAAGTCATCCTAGAAGCCATATTATATTGACCGGTTAAACTGGAATTGCATTTTAAAACTTACATCCCATAGTCACTATGTTTACAATGTTAGTGCGACGAAGAAATAATGACAAAATATAAATGTAGCAAATAAAATCCACAGCATGCTCAACAACCGATTTGCTGTATAATTAATCAAAACGATGTAGGAATTAGTTTATTCAGGGAATCATTTTCATCATGAATTCTCACCAGCTAGTAAGAATTAAAAAAAAGCTAGATTCTGGTCCTATGACAGCGTGCACTAACTAGGACCTTTGGGTTTCGCAGTAAATTTGTTACCGATTGGTTAGCCATATCGGAATTTAAGAATGCATATTTCCAGTCCCAATTAAATGGTGAAAAGATGTCTTAACTTTTAATTCTGGATCAGTAGAAAGTGCACAATGCTAAGGAATTCTGTGAAGTGCTATGTTGATTTTCAGTAAACTCTCAGCTAATGTCAGTTCATGAGATAAAACTATATCCAGAAAAGAATAACATTAAAACATTTGTAGTTTAAACTTATCCTTTATAACCGCCCACACATTAATAAACAATTTCTCATAGCTTTCCACTTTGCACAACTCAAAGCAGTTACTTAATGATAAATATTTTTAAAAGGTTATAATCGGTTATTACTAAAGACGAACATGAAAGTCAATATTTTGTAGTGATTATTTTTTCAATATCAGTGAATTATAGAAATCACCATGTCACCAGTTTAGAAACAAGTTTGAACATGGTTATAGCTATGATTAATTTTCTTTTCATCATACAACATTTCCAAACATTTGGGCGGAAAAAGTGTGCATCCAGACTATATTGAGTAAAGATTTCCATAACACTTGAATCAATCACTAATTCTTAATATTCACAGTTATACTTTCAAAATTTATCGTTAGGGTTAAGGGGAAAAAATCCGCAACCGTTTTAATGTCAGCCCCCGGAAAAAAACTGTAAAAAAAAACAACAATACTTGTCTGAAGTATAAGATAAAAATTAAGACCAATCAATAGTATATACACCATTATGTTTATGAATTCCTTTTATACCATTCAACTTTTTCATCACTTTCTCTATACATTGAAATGATAAATAGAACATATTAATTCTTGTTTGTTTGAGGAAAGAAAATAAGTAGTAACAGAATCAACAAGATTGTCACATTAATGTAAAAATGATTAGAAAACAGAGAGGTTGGTTGACTAACTGATAGCGATAACAAAAGGCAAATAAACAGACTAGTATACATATAGCGGTGCAGCGGTAATTGGAGTCTATATATTTGGTAATAATAATCGAAACAGTTTTTCAATAACAAATACAAAAGTAAGAGGATTACAAAAGTTTTTATCTCAAACACAGGAAAACAAGAAAAGAACAATGAATTGTTTTAAAATAGAAAAGAGTGATTTCACTTGCTCTGGATAAATTCTCTTTGGATAACAATAATAATAATAATATAAAACAGAGGAATGTGTTTAAACTAAGGAGAACTTAAATTGTAAGATAACCACAAACTCGAATGTAAAATATTAATTCAAAAATAAACAATAACAATTTGGTAGGATTCAATAGAGAATGCAAGATCAAAGTTGTAGTAGAAAAATTTGACGTGTGTGGGTGGGTGTGTATACAGGATAGATCAGTTTTTTTTATGTAGAAGATGATTGTGAGTCAGCAGGTATAACATATTGACTAACATATTTTTGTTGTGCATGTCTTAATGTGTCTTTTGGTTTGTTTCGTTTTAATTCACCATCCCTATGAATGAAGAAATAAAAATAAACATGATAATATAAGAAGATAAACGACTGACTGTAGTTACTACCATGATGGGGTGGTCGTGGTGATCTAAGTAGGACACTATGATGACTCAATCGAGTTATATTGTATGGAACTGTTATGTCATGCAGGTCGGTTGGAGAACGGCAGGACTAAAGGCACCAACTTAAAGTCTAACGACGAAGTCATCTTCCTGACTGTACTACAGTTCTGATTGCAGTAAGCCATATGCCTTAGATAACCAGTATCTATAGTGATGTAGTCTTTCCACGACAGAACGTAGTAGTTAGAAAAGACCGGGACTAAAAACAAGATAGTTTGTCTTATTCCACATAGATTTTCGTCACCAGTGACAAAGGCCTCAAAATATGTTGCTAACAACATCAGGAACTATTTAGTCTCATGCAGTTGTCTCTTGTACATTGCGACCAGACGGTTGATCACCTATTAACAAACAATATCTTTCAGTATTATTAATTTAGTTGACTCCCCATACATCAATAATAATGTGATCCACTTATCAAGTAAAGGTTAATATAACCTACTGCGTGTAACATTATTTCAAGATTTCCCTAACAGAAGTATGTGAAGGGAAGGGTTCAAACCTGCTAGCTGATTGTTCAAATGATGTGATGTAACCACGAACCCACCATTCCATAGAACAGGCATTACTTATAGAAGCCCCCATTTCTTAACTTTTATAGAATAATATCATTTGATTAAGTGTGTACCAAATTTTTCTCAGCAAACAAGAACAGAAACCTCGAACACGAATAATTGTGGTACAAAATCACTAACAGTTTATCAACAAAAAGTCTTCGTTTTTTATTACCATTCCAACAAATAATTCTAAATCAGTATTTACTATAGATTAATATCACGTGGGAAATTATTGAAAATCGGATAACACCACATGACTGTCACATTTCAGTTTCGAACTCCTTAGCAATAAGAGTTCACGATATACACGTTATATGTCAAGTATGATGTTTTTAAACTACCGATAAGTCAAAATCCAACGGTACTGTAAGATCAGTAATTTGATCGTGAAGCTTCTATTGACTTATTAGATTGATCAGTACAAACAATAGTGAAATCACCAAATGTATCGACTAACGGGTCGCTCTAGTAATCTTGATTCTGGTTGGTTGTTGCCGGCACTCATCCTGCAATTGACTATATATTTATTTAATAGTCTTCCACCCTGACCTAACTCTTTACCTTACAGTTGCTTGGGATTGTTTTAGGTTTGATATCGACACGTTTATCGATCATTGATTGGTCTGAGTACCAAGCTTCTAAAAATTCCCTGGTTTTTATCAAAATTAAACCAAACAGCTAGGAGAAAGCAAACTTCAACAGAATTATCCTTCTGAGCTAAAAATTTCCATTATTTTGAAAATGAAACTTTTTGTACACTGGTGACTACTTTGTGGTTATGTATAATTTTCGGAATTATGAGATTTTTATTAATTTTTAAACCTGAAGGATTTTACTATAGAATTTCATATTTTTCATTCATTCATTCTCAACTAAATATTCGCAGTTTTTGTTTCTCTGGGATTAGTCGCGTGCTGCAGAAAAAATTTCCGGTCTTCTATTTTGTTGCTTACAAATATCAAGTGATCTAGTACGTCATTGATCACAGTGACGCAAATGTCAAACACTCTAGCCTGGAATTGAGTGTCATAAATGTTTTTTCGTTCTTTCTTTAGGACTGTATTCTTCATGTTCAAATTCTCGTTACTTTCAATGTTTTCCATCCTATGCTTCACATCATATTAAATTCTTGTTTATCTGATCTGAATTGTGATAACTTGAACTAATGCACATGCATATCGGGTCCTTCGTTGACGACTGATTAATGGATTGATGCTATTCAATTTTAGAGTGTAAATACATATGGGAGTAAAATTTGGATCCAAGTAACAAGATTCATCTTATCACGTCATCGAAATTATTTAACCTCATGCGCTAGATAACTATTCTCTTTTTCTTCATCAATTTTTATTTGGTTTTAATAATTTTTATAGGTCAATTCTAAATGACAATCAACTTGAAACATTTACAGTTCATGTGATATCTCTAGATTTAACTACATCAATAATAAAAATATAAAAGAATGAAAACCCTATCAGTGAAGAGTCAATAGTCAAACTTGTTATTTATAGTTTAAAGAAACTTCGATAGTGGTTTGTTCTAAGTAATTACAGCAAAATGGATAAACGATAGTTAAAGAGATGTTGACCAAAGGAATCAAAATTTTAAATTATATGCTCATTCGTATGTTATACCTTCTATGCTTTGCAGCTTCTCAAATTATATTTAGTCGACTTTCTTGTTTTTGTGTGAATCACAATATCGGATTTTACTTACTTATGACTGTTACTCCTCGTGAAGGAGGAGCTTTTTGATTAGAAGATAAAGCATGTTTGTAGTTGCTTCGATGTCTGACTTAAGTGCTTCAGCTGGTATGTTGTCCGGACCCGCTGCTTTCCCGTTCTTGATTTGTCTGATCGCTATTCTGATTTCTTCCGTCGTTGGTGGATTGACACCTATAGGAAGATTTGTGTGTGCTGCTTCGATGTCCGGTGGATTCATTGGAGCCGGCCTATTCAGGAGTTCCTCGAAGTATTCTACCCATCTGTTCCGCTGTTGTTGAATTTCGGTGATTGGCTTGCCTTCTTTGTCTTTGACCGGGCTCTCTGGTTTACTGTATTTTCCTGCTAGTTTCTTCGTTGTATCGTAAAGCTGTTTCATATTTCCTTCTCTAGCAGCTTTTTCTGCCGTCGTTGCTAGTTCTTCCACATATTTCTTCTTGTCGGCTCTAATGCTCCTCTTCACTTGCTTGTTTGCTTCTATGTATTCAGCTTGTGCTTGGACTTTCTCTGCTCGTGTTTGGCTGTTGTTAATTGCTGCATTCTTGTTCTTTCTCTCTTTGATCTTGTCCAATGATTCCATAGAGAACCATTTCTTATGATGATGCTTCTTGAGGCCCAGAACCTCTTGACACGTTGAAGTTAATGCTTCTTTGATACCTTTCCAGTTGTCCTCCATACTAGTTTCTTCTTCTTTCAGCATATCTTGTAAGGCCTGGAACCTGTTGTTGAGAGCTATCTTGAATTCATTGAGTCTGTCAGTATCTCGAAGGAAGGCTGTATTGAACCTTTGTAGTACTGTTTGTCCAGTTGTCCAGTTCTTTTTTAGCTTCAGTTTTAAATTGGCCACAACTAGGTGGTGATCTGAAGCTATGTCAGCTCCTCTACTGGTTCTCACATCTTCCATTGTCCTTCGCAACGTTTTGTTGATGCAGATATGATCTATCTGGTTCTCTGTGGTGTGATCCGGTGAGATCCATGTAGCCTTGTGTATACGTTTGTGTGGAAATATTGTGCCTCCTATGACCAATTTGTTGAATGCACACAGATTTGCAAATCTTTCTCCATTTTCGTTTCTCTCACCCAGTCAATCCATGTCGTCCCATGATATCTTCATATCCGGTGTTGTCTATTCCAACTTTGGCATTTAGATCTCCCATTAGAATAGTGAGGTCCTTTCTTGGGCATTTCTCTATGATTGACTGCAGCCTATCGTAGAACTGATCTTTAATGTTGTCGTTGCTATCATTGGTGGGTGCATAACATTGGATAATATTCATTGTGATTCCCTTCTTCTTTGTTTCGAATGATGCTTTGATGATTCTGGATCCGTGAGATTTCCCATCCTACAAGTGCATTTCGCGCTACTTCATACAGCATTAGAACAACTCCCTGAGTGTGTGGAGCATTTCACTCTTCGTGACCGGAGTACAGCATCTCTCCCATATTTAGCCTTCGTCGTCCAACTTTGGGTCCAATGGGTTTACCTGATTCCCAGTATCTCTTCATTTCCGTTGCTATTTGACTGATTTTCCCGGTCTCCTACATTGTCCGTACTTCCCATGTACCTACAAAAATTGTTGCTCTGGTTGTCAGGTGCATCGGCCTCGTGGCTTCCGAAGAAACTCGGCTTTCACCATGAGGCGTCATAGTTCTTCTAAAAGAAGACCTTCTGACTCCCAGGGCAGAGTTTAAATGGTTTGAATTATTTTTTCTAGTTAGCGTTTTTTTAGCGAGTTGGTTTTCTACGGAATGGGGTCGCTAACCCCATGTACAACCCTCCTCCTTTACCCGGGCTTGGGACCGGCAGTAACTCTAGAAGAGCTATGAGCGGAGTTTTCTATCTTGTTAGTCTTTTATATCTAGACGTGTAGCGTACCTCAGATGGTGCCACATCGGAGATATAATTGAATAAAACTCTAAACAGTAAGAATAAAAGGGGTTCCAATTACATTTCATGCGAACTTTTAATTATCAATATAGGGGTTTGTGGAGATTGTGCTTTTAGGTTCTCAGTGGTGGTCTACCTTAGGTTGACTTGTCAATTCAGCTGTGTAAATTTTTAACTAGAAAATAATTAGAATTCTAGCTGATGGACAAACTGGTGAAGCTATGCATGTGATTAGTGAGCTATTTTACTTACATTGATGTAAATTATCACTGCAACATGCAATTATCTATACACTTCAACTTTTAAAACAATTAGTCCCTTTGATAAATTTCGATAATGCAATGAGAAGACGAAGATTATCAGAACTATGTGATATATTAGCGCAATACATTTCGAACAATCTGGTCACACATATACTTGTTAAGAGCATTTATATATATAAATATTGACCTTTTATTTATATATATAAATGCTCTTAACAAGTATATGTGTGACCAGATTGTTCGAAATGTATTGCGCTAATATATCACATAGTTCTGATAATCTTCGACTTCAACGTTTGTCTTCTCGAAACACGAGTAAGACATAAATCTTAAATGTCAGCCAGTCAGCAACAACGTAGAACTTCGTATGTACGTATATCAGATCAAGTTGCCATACCACATTAGCAAAGAGATACACTTGTCGATTCAAATCTCATAGTGGTAGAGGTAGTAAAAGTATAAGCAATACTCGGAAAGATTAGGGTTTGAAGATGTTATTCAAGAAGTGTAATCCAGTGAAATCTTAAATGTTATTGAAAACATAGTAGATTGTAAGCTAGTAGCAAAAGAAACAAAATAAAGAGAAGTGTTATATGATGGAAGGTCGTTTGCTGTAAACCCCGGGTCTGAATTTCGTGATAGTTGAGACTCATCAGCAAGGCGTAACTGCCGTATCAAACGCTAAGCGAGGGTTATAAGGGCTCCGGTTGCATAGACAGCATTAGCTCCTCTAAGATTGCAGGTGCTTTTTGCTGATGAGTTCCAACTAATACGAAACCTAGGTTTCTTATCTATTACCTTCAGTCACTAAACATCTTGACATAGCACATGCGATATAAAGTCACTCAGGCTGGTGGGAAAACTTCAAATTGCTTGATCAGCAAAAAAGGACCAGAAAAACACGAAATTAGTCACTGCTTAGAGATTAATCGATGGTACAAAGGTAACGTTAAGATTAAAAAAAGAAAAGATATTCTATCAACTACTTACCAATCCATTCCAATCATACCACCACATTGTGCAATACTATACTGTACACGTCTTGCAAATGCAATTGAATCTTCTTGATCTGATTTTCTAGTGGGTGGTAAATACCAAACATCTACCATAATAGCCCATGATGTCATTATTTTTAAACTGTACTGGAATAAACTATCTAGGCTGCTGTTCCAAAAACAGTCAGCGAATAATGGATTGTACTTTTATAGGACATGAGAGAAGGGGGAGAAGAAAGGTAATCAACAGATAATCAGTAAGTGGCTTCTATAAATCTAAAATACTAGTTAAAATCATACAAATGACACGTAATGGAACTATAAAATTCAGTACAATGATTTTTCAATAGTCGAGATCATGGGTCGATTGGAGCTAGACCACCATGGAAAACCTGGAAGCACTGGACGGCCGTTTCGTCCTATCGTGGGACTACTCAGAAGTGCTTTTATTGTACGGTTGAACGGCCTTGAATAATTGGAAAGGGGTAACTGAAACGAAATGATTTTGGGTGACAAATTCATGAAAAATGAGAAAAATTTGCTTTGTTGTTTCTTATTGGTTGAGAACTATGTTGTATACTACTTATGTCGGCAGATATAAGTAGTACTGTAACACCAATCAGAAGAGAAATCCATGTCAGCAGAAGGCTATGAAGTTAGACTTGAGGAAAACAGAAAAGAAATTGTAACTTGGAAGAATCATACAGAATGTGAAGGACAAATGACGAGAGATTAGCAAATGAAGTATTCAATGTATGGTTCTCATATTTTACCGAGATTCGAATCAGCCAGTGGTAAACAAGGTGGAACCTGGTACGCGTATGCACGGGTTTTAGTTGCCAAACCTGATTAACACAGCAAAATGAAATTCTTATGACAACGGACAGAGTAGTAGAAATGATAACAATGTTAGTTGTAGTAGAAAATAGAGAATGTGGTTTGAGAAGATAGGACGAATTTACAAAATAGGAAGTATAAGTACTGCAAGACAGTGGAAAGCAATCAACAAAACCAGAAGGACAGAATGGAAAATAACATAAAGGCAATTTAGATTTAAACATGTGGAATACAGTGAGAGAAAGGATAAATGTGATGGAAAGATAGAACGTTAAGAATGACATCTAATTCAAGATTTACAAAATGACAGAGAATGAATATAAATATACATTATATTGTGAATGATTTCACGTTATTTATTCATCAAACGCCATCCAACAAATAATTATGAGAATTACTTGATGGTTTACTACTTTTTAACTCCAATGAACTTGTGAGTAGTACGATCGACACCTAATGATAAGTGAAAGCGAACAAAATTGTCAGCGATAATGAATGAGTTTGAGCTTGTGACAGCACTTAATAATAGAAAATGTTAGTTGTTACCGTGTCAAAGAATATGATTCAAGTTAACTATTTTATATGTCGCTATATGACAATCTAACATATTGCAAGGATTTTAAATGCAGTGACATGTTATTTTTCAGAACATATAACTGCTATCCAGTTGTATTTTGAACTGTAGCAACAACTTGTGAGTGTCTGATGGTCATAACAGATAGCAAATAGTGGTACATTTTACTTATTTTCACTAAAGGAAAAACTAAAATTTCAATAAATTGAAGTCAAAGTGGTAGGGGGCAGAGAGTGAGGATGTTTGATAGCCTGTGCATTTAGCAGTTAAACCATAAATACTGAATGAGAACATATATATTAATTTTCATTAACACAATTAGCGATAAGTATAAAGTTTAACTTTTACACAGAAGACCTTATTTGCGTATAAGCACTCTAGCGACAGTATTTTTATTGAATGGTCAAACAATTGACGACAGAATTCGATCAGCACCAAAGGACTAACAAACATGAAATTGATCAATACTCATAAGTCAATGTAAATGTTTCAGTCCATTAAGAAATAAGTCGAGGTCAGAATAGCTCTACAGTAACATTTCAAAATGCGAAGCTGGGGGAAGCGAGTTATAATTCCATAGAGAGTATCAGTTCCCTGAAGATTTTAGACACTTCTTGCTGACGAGTGATAGCTAGCACGAAACCTAGGTTCGACATTTCCTGCTGACTACAGTAAACCGTATATATATATATATATACTTAGAAAGCTTTCGTTAAGAAGCAATACATACTCTGATTGCAACAGGATGAATTTCAGCGCCCACTTCAAAACAACCTTTCTTGAATTTCATTACTGACGTATTATTGATACAAGTACCTTCTGGAAAAATTAGAATAGGTTCAGCATTTGGTGTAGCTGCGTGGTCTTTTAACCTTTTAGCTGTAGAAAGACGATCTAAAATTTCCTCACGATCAAACCAAACGGCAGGCACAGCACACGAGATTACCCGTTCAGCAAACCCAAAAAATCCTCCATGCTTTTGCCCAACCTGAATAAACGAAAAAACTATTGAGGATAGTGTCATTTATACAAAATAATAGCTAATATTTAAGGTTTACAAATATTGTAGATATCACCTAATTAACTAGACAAAACTGACAAAGAACTAGACAATTGTTTTTTTATTTAACCACTCAGTATTCATTTATAATTTATTGCTGTATCGGCCGAGTAATATAAATGATAATTTAGAAAAAATAATATCACTCACCAAAATTACATCTATATGAGCCAGACTAAATGTAAAGAGCTAATGATATTGCCTGCTTGCCCAAACTGAATTGGGTGAAGTGAGGCTTAAACGTGAGGCTTGGTGACAGAAAGTTGGATCTCTTGACCACTAAATTATCGCTACGCAATAACGTTTGCCTACCACTCGAAATTGGTGAAATAATGGAACTCGATTCTCAATCGGTGGTAGTTTAAAACAGGACAATGGACAGAAGGAATCTATGTGTATCTTAAGAAAATAGCATTTAAATAATATGTATACATAACCTTCTGCCATTCATTTGCACCTTGCGGTGTGTTCTAAAATGTGAACTGTTTTCTCTTCTAGTCTTTAAGTTTTCTGCCTACGCTTTGCTTTTGATGTGCAGAAACTCTTCTTTCCATCTGATAACTGCGAGAGCTTCGAGGCCACGTTCCGTTATATACTAATTAAAGCAATCTTGTGAGTAGAGTTCGCCACAGTAGTTTGAACGTTCGAAACTCAACCTACCTACTACGATTGGGGCAGTCGATTAGTACTACCAGTCTACACATAAGGAGTGCAGCTTAAAACTAAGCACAAACATGAATACTTTGTAAAAATGAGTAACTAGTTATATTGAACCAGTCAGTCAGTAACAACGTAGAACTTCGTACGTACGTACGTACATCAGTTCGAGTTGCCACACCACATTAGCACAGAGATGCAGTGGTCGATTCAAATCCCGTAGTGGTAGAGGTAATAAGAGTATAAGCAGTAATCGGAAAGATTAGGGTTTGGAGATGTTATTTAAAGAGTATGATTCAGTGAAATAAATTTGGAAAGAGGAAAAAAGGGACATGAAGAATTCAGAAGATTAGAATTTCGGAGAACACAAAGAGTGGATGCACCTGCGCCATTGCAAACGATTTTCAGCCATGTCATTCAGGGTCTCTAACCATCGGTTGCTATCATCTCGCGGTCCCCAACCAGGTAGTCTACACCTACCGACATGACTCAGACCACTTGTCAGTGACTTCATGGATTTGTGCCATGTTTTGGTCTGGCCGCCCCTAGCTTTCTTCCAACCTACTCCTATACCACTGAACATCGCACGTCGTACTTAGCTTATATTTGTCCAAATCACTAACAGATATGTGCCGTATAAAAATATAGCTGACATATTTAACTTAGTCAAGGTGTAATATTGTCTTACATACATTTGAAATGTAGATGTATGTAAGACAATATTACACCATGACTAAGTTAAATATGTCAGCTATATTTTTATACGGCACATATCTGTTAGTGATTTGGACAAATATAAGCTAGGTTTTTATTCATTTTTGTAGCTGAAGGTCGATCATAGGTGAACGTGTGATTGCTTTGATTGAAAAGTAGCAGGCTTCTAACCGAACAAATATTATACCTCTGACTGCTGAAGATTAAGTTCTATAAAATAAGATGTTCCTCAAAGTGCTTTGAGATATTTTATCAATTACATTGTTATATTTTTAGAATCTTTGAAGATATATTTCTTATTTGGTTTTCTATTACAGTAATTCATGTCGTTTTAATAACCTAATGAAGTCTGAAATTGATCGAAAGTAACATTTATACGTTTCTCCAACTTTTTTTCTTTCAATTGTGAACTAATTGGATAAAATGAACTGTTGTTAATATCAGCAGCCAATTAGGTTATCTGAACAATAACTAAGTGTTTATTTTATATTGCTTTTTGATAAGCTTCTATCCGGTAAGGATATTGAGAAAATATGTTACGTAGATGTTGTGTAATGAAATGACTGCGTTTAAAGTGAAACTTATTATTTTTGACATCCTATTGAGTCAAAGAATGGATAGGATTTAATAAATCACCAAACTATGATGAAACTCAGTGATCAGTTTCACTAGTGATAACTACATAAAAAAATTGTGTTCGGATACATGTATATATGAGTAGTTTCGAAAAACACAACACAAACTGAGTTAATCTGAATTTCAACCCATCAATTGAAATTAAGATAAGTTTATTCAATCGCAGGAGTTATGATAGAGTGGAAAATAAGTATAGTAAATAGAATAAAAGGCTGATCAATTGATCTGATACAAAATTATCATATCTGGTCGCTGATAATTATTTATGAAGTTGGAAGTAACTTTAAATATTTGATTTGACTAATATTAGACCGTTAAAGCATAATCTTATGTAAGCTAACACCACATTTCGGAGTAGGTGGATGCTTAAGAGTAGTTCCAACCACTTTAATTGATAAAGGTTGACAAGTGATTTCCACTTTTATCAAGTACTCTGCACCAAGAATCAATATTACTCGGAGAGGCAATGCTTTGGGAATTCAATAACCAATGCCTACAACTCAATCATTTCTCACACTTAGACACAGTTCACTATTGTTTAAAACACAAAGCAAAATTACTTCAAATGGTGAAATAAACTATGGAAAAGTCTTACAACAGCGTAGGTAACGTCTGAGGCCAAAATGCACCAATCGAACGGTGTCGTGTGGTTGGCGACACAAATTGTATTTGCTTTAGGGCGGTTTTCTCTATACAAAAGATAATGAGCATAAATAAGATTAATTTCTAACAGCATAAAATAATTGGGTGTAATAATTTACTATGAACAAACTTAGAAACAAAGTTTTTTTAGGATATGCAAACAATCGTATGGTTTTTAGTTACGATTATAAGTGTTATCAAACTTCATTTCAAATACCTGTACTCTAACCAATGACAGTCGAAATGATATGGTTAAGTACTCTTAGTTGTAATTGTAAAACATTATGAACAATTATCAAAAATATGTGTTAGCTTAGTGTTTCCGTCAAACAACGCAGAGATAATATAACTTGATAAAAATTAATCTGGTCCATAAAAATAAGGTTTATGATCATGCATTTGTGAAACTAGTTACGAAAACTTCAAAAAACATAATTTATAAAAAGGTTGAGATAATGGTCGAGCATAGAAACCTATGTAGATAGCTTTTAGAAAGCTACTTGCAAGGTCTGGATGAGTGAACAAACGTTGGGATATATATATATATATATATATATATATATATATATATATATATATATATATATATATATATATATATATATATATATATATAGTGCCTCAGTTTAGCCCAAACACCATCTATTGTTTCAATGTTTTGGTCCCATATGCACCACTGGCTTGAAAGCAGAATTTGTTAATTTCTTTATGTGAACCTTTCGTATCCACCAACTGGATTTACCCATGTTTTAGACTCCTTGATTTAATGGAGAAACTGGGATTGAGAACCAATGAATCTACTGTGACTGGAAGCTGAACAGAACACTCAACTCATACATTTGGAATGTGGCTCGAAGTCCATTATGAAATTATGTGCTAGGTTTGATGACAGAACATTTCATTATCTAATAATATAATTTATGAACATGACAAGTTATCACTGTTAGTACCGCATCTCAAAGAGGTTTTCCGAAGTTTATTTGAATCGAGCCCGTAACCATCATCCCAGATACGAAAAAACGTCTATAACTTAATAGAAGCTATTAAGAAGTGGTCCTGTGCCAAAAAGTCTTCCATCATTTTTCAAAAGATGATTACGAATGCTTGGTAATATACGTCACAATTTTCGTTTGAAAAAGTAATTGGTAAACGATTATACTAATTGGTTAAACAAACAAACCTGTTGTGGAAACGAATAACAGCGGAGAATGAACACAAATTAAGCCGTACGGCTGCCTGGATTCCTTCGGTGGATAACCAGTTTTTAAACCTTCATAAATGAGTGTAACAAAGTGAAAGTACCGTGAAGGGGGAAGCTTCCGAGCCACAGCGCCTAAAATCCATGTGAACAAAACTGAAGAGATGAAAACAACAAGTCTGAGGAATTAATGATAACTACAAAGCTTACCTGCACGGCAGGAATATTACATAACGAACAATGAGGCCCACAAGCCATAGCATCATTAGGGTGGTATGGTTATCTCTCCTATGAAGTGAATGGTAAAAAGAACACACCTACTTGGCATAAACATAACTCTGGTTGCGACTCAAGAAATTCCATACTCTTAACTCCGCAGCTGTGAATCTCTTGGTGACAGAATCTTCTATAATGGCCTAAGACAGTAATTTGTAAGAGGCCACAAACCTCAATCCCACATTTAACTAAGTAGGTTGGGTAGTATAGTCTGAATCCTTTTTGATCTGGAACAAGATTGTTTTTAACCTTTACACCTCCTTCAGTTAGTTGAATGTCCCTTTCAATCAAATCATCATCTGAAGCAAGAGATCACTGAAGTAGAGCAACCAACCATACGTATCAAGGTTTTCAAAACTGTCAACACTCCTTATTCTTTTAATGTTGTCTTTTACTGTGACAGCCGAGGCGGCGTACTACGTGTATACATCAGCGAAAGAATCTCAACGTACGGAAAACAGTCTATCCAACATAGAAATATACAAGTGTTGGATAATCTGGATTTTGAAGCATGCCGACACTACCGAACTCCAGAAGAACCAGGTGACCGCAAGGAAGTAAAACCAGAAAACACAACAAAGTATACTAGGCATTGTAGCGGAGATTAGTTGCTCTTCAAGAGTGTCAGCAGGTGATAGAAGACAGACGACTGGATAAGAATCTGAAATAGGAACTTAAAAAATTTAAAAAATTTTCGATTAAAATGCAGCTGCTACCACTGTTAAGCCTTGATATACATGTACACAACCTATAACCATGTCAGTTATCTAAAGACAATAAGCTATGACCAAGAGGTTGAAAAACTGAATTCGGTGAGACTATAATTTATGGATGACTTTTGAGCGACGCTAAGTTGACTTTGAGCATGTCCACAAAATTTTACCAAGATAGTGAGGTTGGGATTGTACAAATCTTAGAAGTTAATCAAGCTTGGGGCCCGTTATTTTGTCGTCATTTACATGGGACGATGTTTGTTGACGAGCTCTTCACTTTAGTGGCCCGTAGATCTGACTCCAATTAGGTCGTATGAATGTTTGTTATTGCTTATCCTCATATATAATCATCGACTCAAATCGCGTTCGCCAATAGTGGAATAAGTCAAATAACGAGGATGGACTTTTGAATACATATACTTTGTATATGCAGCGAATAGAATAGAGAGAAGCGAAACGATAGGCAGTGGAAAAGGTGGGTAAGCCAACTCCCTCTAGTCAAGCGCTAATCAATATTTATATTGACACAAAAAAGGTTACAGACAAGTGATGAGTAATGGGATAAGTGCACATACACCCTGATATAAAAACAGTCAAGATTGATTAGGGGATAATTAGAAAGGTCAAAATATGACTCAAGTAGAATGAACAGAATGGGCTGTACGAAAGCTAAAATAAGGTTGTAGCGGTAAATAAATCCACAAACTAAATAGCTCTGTAAGTTTTCGACATTGGATGCTGACCATATGTTTTAGTGGACTCATCTAGCTGAAGGCGCTCGCTCATGCATCCGCACCAGATCACGTGTGGTAACGCTGTGCTCAACACCTACCGCATTCGCTAGCCGGATTAGATCAGAGATCTTCCGATATATTAGTTATCGCCAAATACACTCTTCCGATCTCCTCGACTCTGTCTTTTGATTTCTTTTGGTGGGAACAAAGTATAAAAGAAGGTGTTACTGGTAGAAGCGTTGTCAAACACTGAATACCTGTATCATTCTCAAGGTATATGGGCTTAACATAATAACCGACACTATAAACCCACACACCCCAAAAGTCCGCAGTTCAACAAACCTACCGCTAAACTCTGTAAATCGGTATTAATGAGTTAAAATAAATACGATGTAACTTTATGTAAACAGATACTGATATCAAAATCAACTCATCGTGATGCAACTAAAAATTCGTCCTTTGAATAAATGTGTCTTCCAGTCGGAAAACAACCATAATAGTTCAAATGGTTGTGGACGGAATATTAGAAGCTTTCGATTAACAGGCTTCCGTGTCTAGTAGCAGAGAATCACCAATACCTCCAGGCAGGAACCTGGGTATGTTAGCAATAAAAGAGAAGAAAGATATTGGTAAATCATAGCGTGATACTATCCCTAATCCTTAAGAATAGATCAAGTTGCCTCTTAAAGGACTCCTGGGAAGTCGTTTGGACTAGCATCTGAAAACTCCTAAGGAGTAAAAGCTGTGTCTACAGTCCGTTATGCTATGTTGTGTCTCCAGTTTTTGGGTGTTACCCCTTAGGTTAGTGTTGGAGCTAAGCTTAAGTAGGTGTTTGAGAGGATGTTCAGAAGTGTTAAGGATACTGTAAGCCATCAGAAAGTCACCTCTAAGACGTCTATAATCTAATGGGTAAAGGTTAAGTGAATGGAGGTGCTCTTCATAAGGTTTAAATTTGAGTCCTCGAACTGATTTCCTGACTCGCCGCTGGATACGCTCCAGGGTGTCCTTATCTTTTTGGAGTGAGGGGGGAAATACTGTGTTTCCATACTCTAAATGCGGACGGATAAAAGTTTTGAAAATTGTATGGAAAGTTCTTCCGTCAAACTGGCCAAAAATGCGCCTCAATATTACCAGTGCAAGGTTTGCTCGGAAAGCATTTTTGTCACTTTCAGCATAAGACTTTAAATCTTAGGGCACCAGGACTCCTAAATCTTTTTCGACTTGGGATACTACTAGAGAGGAGTTTTCTAGGTTATAACTGTAGTCTGCGACATGTCGCAGATGGACTAGTTTACACTTCGAAGTGTTAAAGGTAAGTCCATTATCGTCTGCCCAAGTTTGAGGTCGAGTCAGATCCTTCAGCAGTGCCTGTGTAACGTCTTGGTTGTGTATGTCTCTCCAACGTTTCACGTCGTCAGCAAAAAGTAATAAGTCTGACGTTACCTGTTGAGGAAGATCATTTATGTGGATCAAGAAGAGAAGAAATCCTGTTAATGACCCACTAGGACATTCCATAGCCTGAGATAAAGTGAAATTAACCCTGACCTTAAAATGTCGATTTTTCAGACATGAACTAAGCCAATCGACCAGAGGTGGTCTGATACACAATCGTTTGAGCTTATTGATAAAACATGTATGGTTAACCTTATCAAAAGCTTTTGAGAAATCTAGGTAGATGATATCGACCTTCCCCTTGGGATCAAGGATGCTTGTTCATCTATCCACCGCAGTCAGCAGGCTGGTTATACAAGAGTAACCCTTCCTGTTGGGGTGAAAAGAAATTTAAGAAGAGTAAATAGTCGTGTATACCTTCGCATATCAGGGACTCCATGATTTTGAATGTATTGAGAGAAGAGCCACCGATCGGTAACTTGAAGGTTTGCTGCGTCGACCCCCTTTGAAAATTGGTTTGATGTGAGCCAGCTTCCAATTTTCCGGTAGTTTTCCTCCACTTAGTGAGTGTTAGAACATCACGCTAAGTGGCGTAGCCAGGATTGAGGCTGTCTTCCTCCGTATGGCAGAATGGACTATATTTGGACCAGAAGAAGTGTCAATTTTTAAATGCTGCAGTTTCCGAAACACTAAATCAGCGCTCAGGTTCATTTCGGAAAGTCCTTTTGAGTCGCAGATGAAGCTTTCGTCAGTATAATTTATGTGGGTCGGTTGAAATGTCCGAGAGTATTGTTCAGCCAAAAAGTAAGCGGCGTCGCCGTTGTCATTGGTTGGGCCGTTAAGACCTAGCAGTTGGGAAACTCCAAATTTGGCTTGACGAAGAGAGGCTGCGTAGCGGAATAAGCTTTTCGGATTTGAGACAAATTTGTCCATAACCTTTGTCTGGTACTAAAGCTTGTCTTCTCTCATAGCCTTCGTGCGTATATTCCTTATATGTTTATATTGCGTTTACGCTCCATTGTTGCCAATACGTTTGTACTTTGCCCAACAGCGCCTTTTGAGGCTTAGTAGGCGAAGAATGTGGTTCCTGATGATTATGGGTTGATGATAGCTATGGGGGATCGTTTGAGGAACTGACTGCTTTGTAGCACATAAGAGCGTATGCAGTAAGAAGTCACAATGAGTATCCACATCGAGTTAAGGGCAAACATCCCAATCCACCTGTTGTAGATAGTCCTGTAGAGCTGACACATTCAACCGTTTGAAATTCCAGCGCAAGTTGTTGGTGGGATATCTTAGCTCAGTTTTGCTGACGAAACTGAAAGCTATAACGGCGTGATCGCTTTTTCCCAGGGGAGCCAGGATTGAGAGGTTGCCAACTAGGAATTCTTCGTTTGTAAATACACAGTCTAAGGTCGATGGTGTCTGACTGTTTCTCCAACGAGTTGCCGACTTGACATTTTCGTATAATCCCAAATCCTCAATGAGGTTGATGAACCGAGCATCAGTTGAGTTTTTACCTCCAATGTACGTATGTTCCGCGAAGTTGACTCTAGGGAGATTGAAGTACATTAGAATCAGGATATGAGTGAAACTAAGACGAGTAGAGCGGGCTAGTCCTTCCAGCATACGACTGCCATAGTCGATGTCAGTAATGGGCTTCCTATATATGACTCCGACTAGACACTTCGAAGTAGCAGACAATCTTACAGAACACAATACAGATTCCTCAAGATTGTTAAACTCAAGGTTATGAACTTGTCTTCTCTAGTCTCATCACTTGTTGAGTCAGTATGTTTTTGAGCCTCAACGACTGTTTGATGAATTTCCATTTCCTGATGTCAGTCTTTGCTTGATTAGGGTCCGTATTTTCCGGTACTCCATGCACAATTACATTCATTCCGCGGAAAAACTTCTCGCGAGACTTTATGGCGATGTTCCAGATGAGATTACGCTCAGAATACGGTATGTCAGGCAGTATTCTTGCATTCCTATCTGATTTCAGTAAATGACTCTCCAGCAAGACATTCTCTACTTCAGTAGCATTCTTAAGTGTTGCACGAAGTAGCCTCGGGTGATTTTGATGCTTAGATTCCTTTCCCCGAGTGAGCTGTGTGACCGTCCAATGCTCTATTCTTGGAAGTTCAAGTTTCTTGTTAAATTCTCTTCAGAGCATCCTGTCATTTTTGTCCTGCAAACTGAGAGGAAGGTCAGGGTTATCTTTGGGGTTCATGATTATGAGAGAGTCATCACAAACCTTTATTGTCGTTCCAGGTTTTCCGGTGCGTTCAGGCTTAACGCCTTGTTGTTTGCAGGTCAAAGCACGTTTATGCATCCTAGGCTCTTTGATGACCGGATGGACATTCTTGAGGGTAGACTGTGCGACCAAATCACCAGTTGATTTCCGTACAACAGCTGGATTGTTCAACTTAGACGGTGACACCTGGTCCTTTTTAGCTCTTTTGATATGGGTCCAGTCACCTACAGTGTTTTAGTAACCACTGTCTCGTTCAATAACCTTGATCTGTGTGACCCGAGTTTACTGAGGGAGTCGAGTATCGTCGACGTAATGATGGTGGTTTCAACGTGTCATCATTAGTGGTGATGCATGATGTCGACATCCCTGTTCTTGTTTTCATTGTGCGCTCTTATTTGTCTACCCGTTTTGTGCCTTTCTTTTGCCAAGTTTGCTGACAGCGTACTCTGCAGACCTGTCAGTAGGACAATGATGTTACTCAGCAAGACTATAGCATCCGTGCTGCACGTAACACATTCCCACTATTGATCCGATTTGCTGAGTTTGTTGAAAGCAGTTGCTGTGAGATCTGTGCACGCTTCGTGGAACCATTCTTTGCAGTTGTCTCATTGCATACCAGATGTTACAGCAAAACGGCATCCAGGTCCTTTGCATTAATTTTTCATGACTGTATTGACGTAAACGGTGTTGCAGATGCTAGCAAACGCCTAAGATCGTAAAAATACACTAATGGTTCTGAACGGAGTAGAAGAAGCCTTAGCTTAATAAATTTAACAAGTCACCTATGAAACGCCCATGATCTAATGGGTAAAGATTCAGTGTCCAACGGCACTCTTGATAAAGTTTGAATTTGATTTCACAAACTTGTAGGATCAGCGAAATTCCACTGAGCCCTAACCAAATCATCCGGTAGTCGAGTCATTAATATCGAACAGATTATCGATCCTCGTGAAGGTCAAGGACAATCAACGCACATCAGTTAATCGCACTCCATGGACTGGTCCATGTGGCAGTGGTCTTACTTTCGCTTGTATCTACTTTAACTAATATATTTCTGTAATAACGTCCTCTATGTTTTACAGTCTTCAAAGCATCTATAGTACCTTGATACGTGAATGGGGTAGTCCACGTAAGATGCTGACTACGAAGTGTGACTTCGACGTCAGCTAGTTTGTCATGCAATTCACGTCTTATTCAAATAGGCCTCCAATCATTTCGACACAGATCATCTACGTTGATGACCTACAAGCTGACTGACCTTTCAATACGTTGCAGTGTATTTTTTATCCTTTTGGAGTGAAGAAGGAAACATGATGTTTTCATTCTCCGAATGAGGTCGAATATTACTGTTGAAGATCAAATGAAAATTTCTACTGTCGAAATGACCGAAATTAAACTTCAACATTACCAGTGCGATTTTTACTCGAAAGGCACTTTTATGGTAGCTGCAGTAACACTTTAGACATTCGGTGCCAACTTTACACTGTTTCTGTGGATGTTTAGACCTCTTATCTCGATGTGCAAAGTGAACCATATCCAAGACAGGAGAAATATCCTTGTTCATAAGCTACATTTCTGATACATACGGACAGAGCTTAGTTTCAGTTCTGAGAGTCATACTGAGTAGCGAG